AGGTCCTTAATACTTTCATATGTATGTATGCTCTGAAGAATATAACTAGGATCCTTAACTGCACACCCAGAATACCACAGTTGGGTGGAAAGGAATGTCATCATCATCATCATCATCACCATCATCATCGCCACTATCATCATTACCATCATCATCACTACCATCATCATCATCACCATCATCATCACCATCATCATCACCACCACCATCATCATTGCCAACATCATCGCTACTATCATCATCACCACCACCATCATCATCATCATCAGAAACTAAAGCTGAGAGAAGTTAAGTCACTTGCTCAGGGACACAGCTGGTGTTTGGGGCCAGATTTAAACTCAGATCTTCTTGAGGTCAGAGCCAGCATTCTGTCTATTGTGTCATGTAGATGCCTTTTATTTTCCTATAAGGTGAGGACTCTATTTCACCTTATTTCACAGATTCTGTTCTTTACTGAACTTGTAAATCTCATTGAGAAAGAAGTAGGGTATAGTGGATTAAAGGGCAGCCTGGGTACCCGAAAGACCTGAGGCACTATGTGGCATCAAGTCCTGCTTCTGACATGTGTTAGTTGAGTAACTCTTGATAGTGCTCCAATCCTCACATAACCCTCAAAAGCAAGACGGTAGGGAGGGAGGAAGGAAGAAAAGAATACTTCACTAAGACAGTGTAAAATAAAAACAAAACAAAACCCAGTAACACAGAAATGTGAAAGACAGCAAGCAGGAAACCCAATTGAATGAATGACTTTTTACATTTTAATACAGTCAAAACCTACACACTTCTAAGAAACACAGATCCGAGACAACTTAATTAAGTAAATTATAGTAAATGCAATAAAGAAAAACTAAACCAAATAGATTGAACTCACAAATTGCAATTAGGAAAATCCAAGCCATTTCTTTAAAAGAACTGATTATTGCTTTCCTGCCAGCTCCGCCATATTTCAGTGAGTTGCCAAAATAATGAACACAAAAGGAGAAAGGAGAGGGACCGTTAACATGTTTTCTAGGCCCTTTTGAAAACGTGGTGTTGTCCCTCTGGTTATGTATATTCAAATATACAAGAAAGGTGATATTGTAGACATCAAGGAATGCCCCACTAATGTTACCAAGGCAAGACTGGACAGGTCTATAACGTTACTCAACATGCTGTAGGCATTGTTGTAAACAAAGTGGTCAAGGGCAAGATTCTAGCCAAGAGAATTAATGTGCGTATTGAGCATATTAAGCATTCTGAGAGCAGAGATAGCTTCCTGAAGAGGGTAAAGGAACATGATCAGAAGAAGAATGAAGGGGGCAGCTAGGTGGTGCAGTGGATAGAGCACTGGCCCTGAAGTCAGGAGGACCTGAGTTCAAATCCAGCCTCAGACTAAACATTGACACTTACTAGCTATGTGACCCTGGGCAAGTCACTTAATCCCAATTGCCTAAAAAGAAGAAGAAGGAGAAGAAGAAGAATGAAGCCAAAGAAAAAGGCACTTGGGTTCAACTGAAATGCCAGCCTGCTCTACCTAGAGAAGTATACTTTGTGAGAACTAATGGCAAGGAACCTGAGCTCTTGGAACCAATCCCCTATGAATTCATGGCATAAATGGCTGTAAAATAAAAACAATAAAAAATTCTTGGGTTAAAAAAAAATACTGATCACTTTAGAATATTAATGGCCTGAGGTGATGACAAGACTTGTCAGAAATTCTGTGGGTAATGGGATTCAAAACCACAATACTCTGATAACTTCCATGTGTACTGTGTGGAGGAAAAGTGCATTAAAGTTTAATATTTTCCCCAATTATTCCTGCAGACAAAACAGAATAGGAAGTTAGAAGTACATATCACCAAGAATTCTGAGGACATCAAGTAAATTATTCCAACCACTCCATCCAACAAACCCTCATTAAGCACTTTTATAAAGTTATTTTTACATTCTCAGTATACAAAGACATGATTTAGTGCTACAAATGAATTCAGAAACAAGAAAAAGCTAGAATACATTATAATTATTCATTTTCCATTCTTTTCAGTGTTGTACTAACTTCTAGTGTATAAACTGTTCTTTTAAGGGAACTTAGTATAGAGGCAGGGGAAAAATAACTAAGAAAAAATAAAAGGAAAATTAATCCTTTGCTGTTTGTTCTTTTGTGATTTTTTCCTATATCCCAAGATCTCAAAAATGGATTTGCATTTACGTTCTTGATTGGTATCATTTCATTTTAATTCCCAAGTCTTGCAAGTATGGGCCTAGCACCTAAGCCAGGTGGCCCTGCATAGTTGGCCCCAATTGATCTGGGGTCAACTCAAGCGACTTCTATCAATGAACAAGGACAGCTATGGTAAAGGCAGCGACTCTTGCCTAGCAGTCATGGCCATCCCCTGTTTCCAAGAAAAACTTTAAGTATTATCAGATTGTCTGGAAAAGGAATAAGAAGTTAATGAAATCACCTGTTTCATTTTGACTTCATTGATTTTCATTGCTCACTGAGCCATTCTTGGGTGATTGAAAGAGTCATTTCTTTTACCTTTTTTGGGGGTGGGGTAGGAGTGGGGATGGGGGGAGGGGTGTTATTCTGTATTTCTCTCTGCAATGCTCATCATTCCAGTTCACTATGTACTGTACCACCTAGGTGCCCCTGAGACTGGGAGATATAGTTCCTCATCCTGTCTCTATCACATCCAGCTGTGTTGACCTTGGGCAAACCACTTTACTTCTCTGGGACTTATTTTCTTTCTCAGTAAAATAAGAGAGTTGAACTGGATTTATTTCACCAAACATGCATTAGCCACTGTGCAAGGTGATATAGGAGATGTGGAGTTTAGATGAGACATGGTCCCTCTGTTCATGGAGATTACAATCTTATAAAGGGATAAGCTATAGTGATAATTGTAAAACATGGAAATACACAATAAACGTGTAAAAGAGGTATGAAACCAAGCTGCAAAGTCCAAGGATATATACACTTATTAACAAGGAAATCAAAGAAGGCTTCAAGAAAGAGGTGGCATCTGAGTTGGACTTTAAAGGATGGGTGGGGAGGGTCAGAAAGAACATTCCAGGAATAGGAAAAAATGGGAGTGGAAGGCATTGGGGTGGGGAAGCATAGGGTGTGTGTAGAGGATTGATAACAATCCAGTTCATAATAGGAGATAAGGGTTAATAAGATAGATTGGATTATGGAAAGTCTTGAATATCAGGTAAGGGAATTTGAACTTTATTGGGTCAGCAAGTGAGGATTTTTAAACAGATAAGGGACTTAGTCAGATCTCAGTGGGAAGGATGCTAGTCCACTAATGGTGTAAACTATGAATTAAACAGAAGAAAGATTTGTTAAAAAGCAGTTGCAATGGCCCAGGCACTGGGTAGATAGCTACTTGGCTCAGTGGATAGAGCATTGGGCTTGGAGGGAGGGAAGTTCAAATCTGGCCTCAGACACTTACTAGCTGTGTGACCCTGGGCAAGTCACTTAACATCTGACTTAGTCCACTGGATAAGGAAATGGCGAACTACTGCTGTATCTTTGGCAAGAAAACTCCACGAACCGAACCACAAGGCACAAGGCAGTGAGATTCTGGACTAGGGTGGTGGCAGTGGAAATCAGAGAGGTATCAGAGACACAGTGGTCTAAGTTTGGTCTGGTCTAAGTGGTGAGGGGAAACAACTCTGGGCAAATAAGCTATAGACAGGATCAATTTCAGGGAAAAAAATCAACAGAGTTGAAGGCACAAATAAGAACACTGAAGTACTACATAGAAGGTCTTGTGGACAGAAGTAGTTAATAAGTCTCCCCAAAGCAAATGATTTCCAGCAAGTAACTCACAGGATCCAAGGATCATGGTTCTAGAATTGGAACGGACCTTAGAGGCTGCTCATTTTATAGGTGAGGAAACTGAGGTCATGTGGAGAGTAATCATGAGATATTAGAATCCTGGCTACAGAGCTGGGAAGGGCCTCAGAGGTCATCTAGGCCAACCCCACATAAGGAAACAGAGGCCTAAGGAAGTTAAGTGACTTGTCCAAGGTCACACAAATATCAAGGGTGGGATTTGGACCCAAGCCCTTTGAGTTCAGAGTCAATACTTTTTCCACAATGTGATTGTCAGCAGAACATGAGTGGTTCCATGATATGGAAAAAAAAAAAGCAACTATTGTTTTGCTTTCAAAGTTTTTTGGTAAAAAAGCTGTTTATATCACTTTCTGAAATGCACATTCAAGAGAATTTTTCCTGATGAAAAGCAAAACAAGAGGAAAAATGGAATACTCTGGGAGGCATCTTTGAGTTTTTCGAAGGCATGTATAGTTTTTTTTTTGCAGGATCTCTCTCTCTCTCTCCCTCCCCCCCTGCTTCTCTCTCTCTGTCTCTGCTTCTTTGTCTTTCTATCTCTCTGTCTCTGTCTGCTTCTCTCTATATCTTTCTGTTTCTGTCTCTATTCTCTCTTTCTCTTTCCCTCTCTTGTCTCTCTGCTTCTTTCTCTCT